CTTAAGACTTGACACTTCTCCTGGCCCGGATATGGTTCATCCTGCCATACTGAGGGAGGCAGCCTCAATCCTGGCAACGCCGCTTAGCGTGATGTTTTCACACTCGCTTAGCCGAGGCAAACTACCGGAAAATTGGAAGTTGGCTCACATCACACCAATTTTCAAAGGTGGTCGACGCAATGAACCTTCAAGTTACCGGCCGGTAGCTCTTCTGTCGTTACCTTCAAAACTCATGGAGTCCCTGATATGCGACGGTCTAAATGACTACCTACTGTCCTTAAATTTCTTCTCACCCCAACAGCATGGTTTCAGGAAGGGTTACTCTTGTATAACCAACCTGCTGACTGCGGTGGACAGATGGACAAGCATCCTCGATCGCAAGGGAAAGGTTGATGTCATTTACCTTGATTTCTCAAAAGCTTTTGATAAGGTTAACCACTTGTGTCTTATCAACAAGCTCAAACGACTAGGTATCAAACCACCTCTAATCGACTGGCTTACTTCATACCTAAAAAATCGACACTTTAAGGTTAGGGTTAATTTCACTTTATCTCAAGCTATGGAATGTCCTAGTGGGGTCCCCCAGGGCTCAGTACTAGGGCCTCTTCTCTTCTTGATCTACATAAATGATCTTCCTCAACAGGTAACGTCAGACTTATTACTTTTTGCCGACGACGTGAAACTTTGGAGAGAGATACGCAACCAAGACGATATACAGGCACTTCAAGAGGATCTGACTCGACTTCAAAGTTGGGCAGACGATAACGGACTTACCTTTAACACTTCAAAGTGTAAAGTAGTCCATCTGCGACATGTCGCAAACTACAGTTACAACTTAGGAAACTCCTCTCTAGTAGTATCCCAAGTCGAAAAAGATTTAGGAGTCCTGGTGCCCCATGACTTAAAGTCTTACGCTAACTGTGACAAAAATGCCTTCCGAGCAAACCTTGCACTGGTAACGTTGAGGCGCATTTTTGGTCAGTTTGACGGAAGAACTTTCCACACAATCTTCAATAGTTTCATCCGTCTCCATTTAGAGTACGGAAACATAATACTCCCCCCCTCACTCCAAAAGGATAAGGTCACTGGAGCGTATCCAACGGCGAGCCACGAAATCAGTTCGAGGACTCAAATCTAAGCCTTACGAAGAACGCCTCCGTTCACTAGACCTTTACCCACTAGAATATAGGCGTCTTAGAGGTGATTTATTAATGGCTTATAGTATTCTTAACACTTCTGGACATCCTCTTAAACACCTACTTAAGCTTAGTTCGAACAATAACCTAAGGGGTAACACCCAGAAACTGGAAACACAACATAGCAAGACGGAATGTAGACACAACTTCTACTCCTTAAGAGTTGTCAAAAGCTGGAACTCGCTGCCGGCCGAGCTAGTCCAAGCGACTTCTCAGGAGTCCTTCAAGAGGCAACTTGACCTATTCTTAAGGACCAAGGACAGCATCGCACTATGATTTACCAATTTCTTTTCCTCTTTTATTGTTAACATACCTAGGTTCCTGCCTGGAGGATTTGGTGATCCCCTGCTACTAGACACGGAAGCCTGTTAAGCGAAAGCTTCTTCTATTCCGTCCACAACCATTTGAACCATTTGAACGTCTGGAGCTACATTTCTCAAACTGAGTAGTGAATTACTGAAATTCTCTACCAAAAACATGTAATATCAGCACCTGTTGATTCATTTAAAGTGAGATTGAACTTCCACAGTGCTACAAATTGTAAGGATTAATATAGGCCAATAGCCCTCCTGTCCTTACTACTGAAGACTGATATCAGGAAGTTTGTAGTTTGTATAGCGGTTATCTGGTTTTTGCGTTACACGTAAGCTACCTGGTCAGTCTGCTGTTGTAACCTGTTTCGTGGCTTAATTCTAGCTTGACTTTTCGTATGGATAGCTCAGCACTGGATTAGCATCGAATAGATTATTCTCTCGACCATATTGTCGTGTTTAGGTTTCAGCATCGTTTTTTCATGATAAAGGTAAAACTGCGGCCTTCCGAAGCAAACATAGAGGGGAAGTGTAACAGAACATGAGGGGAATGATGACGACATTTCCTAATAAAATTTGGCGTGGATGAGGGGGTAGCTCATTGATTCCTACCATGGTAGGAAATTGTAAAACTTTTGCATTACATGTCTCCCTGTCGGAGCAATTTTTTGGGATTTACACCATCTAGTCTACCTACATTATCACAAAAGTGGCTGTTTCTAATCCTAAACTTCTGATAGATAAGCAGACTTGAAACTATCCACTATTGGCCTTTACTTCCACAAGGAAACCAACTTTTCGACACAATTGACCAAATTTGAGGTATGATACATGTATTAGAAGACACCTGTTTGCAGAAATTTTAACGAATATTTACAAGAATATTTAGGACGTTTAGGTACCGACATGTTCTTGCTGTAAGTGATAAGTATGATTATTATAAAAGGAAATCTTAAGAAGGTAACCGGCAAATTCGTAGTTTATAAAGAAAATTATGTATAAATAGTGAGGTTCTGCTATAAACGAAATGGAAAATCATGTGGACTTCCCACGTACGTCTAACTTACTGCCATGTAACAGAAGTGAAAGAGTTGATGTGTGATGTATGCGCACTACGAACCATAAGTATTGTCCAGTGAGTTCTAAAATGTAATAGAAATTAGTCTGTGTAGTGGAACTATACTTCAATATGTTTAATGTTAAAACATAACAACACAAGGTGCAACTTACAATGATGTTTGCTAAAGTAGTACCGTGCGCCTAAAAATGGAAATAAGAAGTTACCTCTAAAGAACGTTACTTACATTGTCCCTCCTTCTACGGTAGCTCTCATGAGCCTATCTTTCATGTCACGGAGATAACCTTGGGTTGGGATGTTGTTCAGTTCTTCAAGATCTTGTCCCGTTAAACGTAGAGATAAAAATCATGATGTTAGTGCGCCTGATGATTAAAAATAACAAGTGTTTTTACTTCGTATACTATTGCAAAATCGGCACATCCGGCGAGCATTTTTGCTGGTAGTACTAATTAGTGTAAAGTGACTGGCTACTTCAGGTTTCGTGACATATGATGATGAATCTCATCGATGTTTTTGGATTGTCACCCATCAGCCTTTTCGCCATCATCTAAAATCTTAAAGGATTATTAAACATAAGTATAAGAGCCACAACAAATCTTCACTCTGGTTGTATAATCACTGTTCTGGCTGACAGTGTGGGAGTGGTCATTTTCCTATTCCCCTACCATTACGAACGTTTCTCGGTTATTTTCAAACCATTTGTGTATCTGAAAAATAAACGAATTTATATGTTAAACGTAGCACTATTTACCTCAACTTCAGCTTCTATGTGTTACAGGTTGGTCACGTGTTTCTATGTATTTATTCAGATTATGTAGAGAACGAGATTACATAATTAACCCTATCTGAAGCTAATAATAACAAGCTGTTTACTGATATTAAGATACAACACTACAGAACTCTTGTTTTTTCTATAGGAAAATAGGACTAGCGTAATAGTAGAAGAAAACGATCTATTCTCCTAATGGTATGTCAGTATATATGCAGAAAGATACGACATGTACAGTTTCGAATAGAGGGAACATAAACATGTCATTCCATTTAATTTTCTGGTATTGCTTACTTAATAGCTCAACACTAACATACTGTTTTTGAACTATCATCATTCTTGATGGGTAAATATTTCAAATCTACGTGACCTTACAAATGTCTGTGCTCAATTACTCGATTAGTTTAGCAACAAATTAGTCGGTTTTTCTACTTCAGGAGTTTGGCATTTGTCTTTTCCACTCTCAATGATAATGATGTTCAGTTCATATAATGGAACACAAATATTGCAAATATTAAATACTCGCCATTTTGTTGGCACTGAATCATCTCATCTTACTTTTGGTAGTTGTTACTTATCTGAATTGCCTTATTGGGTCATTTTAACAGAAGCTAGGAGCTTCTATTACAAGTGTAGATTTGGTGTCATAAATTTGGACACTTCAGGATATATAAGTAATTTAAAATGGGAAGTCGGAATTTGTCTCATGTTTTCTAATATGAACGAGACATCGTAGCATGTATGTCTTAACCGAATGCACACTGTTTTTAAAATTTGAATACAGTATGTCTGGTATACAGTTTTATGAAGCAGTTAGATTACCGAACTAAACGGTAGTATCTGACCACCTAAAATACCAGTCAAAATTTGTATGCTAACACCCTAAAATCGGTTCTCATGGTATCCGTAAACTTACAACTGCGTCATATATCTATTTGATTTACCTGAAATAAAAGCGTTAAACATACAAAGCATCCTGATTACATTGACTGAGAGTTACAAAGAAGGGTTAATATTTCTAATGAAAATTTGATTATACGGGTTGGTTCTTTTAGAACATGTAAACAATAGCCGATGGAAATAGTGTGCAGAAGGATCTTTCCAAAAAGAGAAAAAGATGTGTAGCTAAGTGGATAACACGATGGCGTTTGGAGCCAATGGTACTATGTTCGAGTCCCAGAGTGAACATCAACTCTAGGGTGCAGGTAAATCAAGCTGACGAGTCTCAAATAGGACAAAACACGCATCCTTAATTCCACTGATGGCCACTATCCATCATCCTTGCTTAAAACGTTTGTGACTTGAGGCTACATCAAGGCAGTCAGCACAGGATGCACATATGTCAATATGAGACATCACTTGCAGTCCTAAATAACAATGGGAAGATACAAGTAAAACAACACCAAGTGAAGATATGTATTACTTCAATGAAAAGATTTTATTATTTCGTGCTACAAATCCCTAAATTGTTCAGAAACAACAGACCTAGAATGGCTGTTAGATTTTTACTTGGTTTAAAATGTTACTTATCCAACTGATTCTTGTTTCCCTTATTTTCTTTTAGTTTTCTCTAATTATCCATATAGACAAATCGGTTGAAGGAGTGTGCCAAACTATCTCCTCAATTATTTTATTACATTTAAAGTATGGCTTTAGAAGATTTAATCAGTCCTATAATCTCTAAAGAATGCTTTTATAAGTTTACAAAAGAAGGAGATTTATTTGATGGTAATCTTTCGAAAAAACACACAATTAATCTACTATTTTGTTTAGGTCCATGTTTTAAAGCAACTATTAGTAAGTTATTAGGATATGGAATAGTTATTGGCTCTTCACTTGGTAAGTAGTTTCAATTCTTTGTAGTCAGTAATTGTAGTTTATGAAAAGTTAAAATTCCACAAGTAATAAAAGTTGCAAAATGTAAAAATTCATTTGGTTTGAGTATACTTTCAATTTTACTTGAAATGATCTCTTTAACATCTGTAAGCGCTTACTCATTTGCTAATGGATTCCCGTTCAGGTAAATAAATATAACAGTTATTTTTCTTTATATAAAATTTCACTGAATGTATATTATTCATATTTATTGACTAGTTCGAACAATGTAGTGTTCAACCGGGTCTGTTGTGAGAGAGTAACTCACTGATGACAATGGTGGATGTGCCGCTCAATCTCGTGGATTAGTTGAAGTTAGATATTAACACCGTTGGATGCCGGCTCAGTGGTCTAGAGGTTAAGCGTTCGTGCGCGAGACTGATAGGTCCTAGGTTGGAGTCTCGCGAGGCGGATTCGTGGATGCGCACTGCCATTGAGGAGTCCCACAGTAGGACAAAACGGCTGTCCGGTGCTTCCAGGTTTTCCATGGTGGTCTAGCTTCAATTGACTCATGATCTTAACTATTGAAATTACTATAATATGCACAAAAAGCTCTTCTGTTGTTAATGTAGAATTCGACAAATTCATACGTTTGTACAAAATTTCACACAGTTCTATCAAGAAATGGTCAATGAGAAAATAAGAATCTGAAAGTTGAGCTGAGTGAATAATATGTCAAGATACTGTTAGTAATCACGACTAACTATGTAGTTTCGTTCGAAAATCCTGAAAATACATTCGATGCATCAGTTCTTACAGGGGAGAAGATAAAGACCAATACATCAAATATATTTTTAGGATTTTTGAAAAGAGCTACATAGTCACTTGTGGCCTACGTTCAAGTTGATTGAGACATAGTATCTATGCCCAGCCACTACCTTCATCGACGAGCAGTATTACTTAAAGTAGGAATTAGTAGGAAGAGTAGTAGGAGTGACCAGATGTGGCATCAATCTATAAAACCATCGATTGTTTAGAACCTTGGAGTGGTCGTTTAGCGGTTAGGGCATCCAAATTTCAACCACTAATTTTCAGTTCCGAACCCCAATTCACCTATGCTGTTTATTTTCTTCAGTAAGTAGATGTAGCGTCCAGCTCACCAAGGCTTATGAAGCTTCCAAGATAAGTGAAATGATCAAAACTTCCATCTAAGTCACTCCCTACCATCAATTCAGGTGTTGACACAAACCAGCTCTGAAACAACATTTTTCGCTTAGAGAGGGAAAAACGGATCTCAAAGTTAGGTGAAAAAATGCTATTTCTAGGAGGACATCGACAAAATTAAATAAAAATGGGGATAGTGGGGAGCTTTGACGAACATCGCTTGAAGTTTAAAGTTCTGATAACAGTTCGCCGTAAGCATCGAATCAGCCAGTGATGTTTGAGTAGAGAGCGTACACGAAGCTGGTATACATCAATAGTACTCCTCTCAATGACAAACATTTCCATGAAACCTCTCGGTCAACAGAGTTGAACGTTACCTTAAGTTCAAGAAATACAACTATAGTCGGGCGCCTGAAAGTATCCATATTTTATAAAACTTGAAGAATAAGTATTTCGTTAGTACATTTACGTCGAGGTCTGAAACCAATCTAGTTTTCCTGTAGTTGCTCTTCCCGAACCTTAGTTAAGCGTCTGATGATTATAGAGACTAGTATTTTACATAATATATTAGTCAAACTGCTTTCTCTGCAGTTTCTACAGGGGTATTTCGGTCCTTTCTTAAAAATTGGAGCGAACAACAATCGAGATCGGTCAAATGATTACATACAGCCTCTAAACTGTAGCTAAGTACTTCATTCAGCTTAGCTGCTGAAATTGAACCAACATCCTTAAAGATCGGAGTTAATCCATCTGAGCTCTCTATTGTTCTTCGTTTTAGATTGTCTATAACCTTATCAACCTCGCTAAGTGTCGATTTCGTGTTCAAATTGCTTAGAGATAGTTGGTAATTGGAAACCAGTTGAACTGTTCTATAAGACTCTCTGTTCAGTCTGTTTAATATTCTAACTAGGAGTGAGTCATAGTTGTATCCTTTGCCGAGATGGTCTCACTACCAGTTGTCTCTTTCGTCTCTCTTGTTTTCGTTACCTACCATTGCTCACGACCATTGCGTAATCTTTCTAGTTTACTTTTGAAATGTGGTCATCACTTAACGAACTGTCTTTTTTTTCTGACCTCTTCATTTTCACTCATCATCTACGGTATCAATTTTGTCATATCTGTTCATGATGATATATTCAGATATCTCTCTATGATTAACATGATTAAGATCACTTCTTTACACTAAATCATCTACTATAAATACACTAAATCTATTGTCACTTGATCAACTCGGATCCAATATCAATTTAATCCTTAGAATGCAATACATTGAAACAAAATACAAGCTACTTGTGAATTCTGGTCACATGATAACATTAATTTTCATATTACCATGTCTATTGTCTAAAAACCTTAATAAACACTAACTTTCATGCGATTTATGAATTGTATTAATTGGTTGTTTATTTGCTTAGTGCTTATGGAGAAGGAGTCTTTTTAGGTATACAAAATTTCCTCTTGGCTATTATGGCAATAACTTGGACATATTCACATATTAAAGCTGTCCTATTCTCTTGTGCTTATATAGCATGTGTAGCTGTTCTTTTGTCTCCAACACTTCCATTATCAATATTGATACTATTTCAAACAGTTAATCTTCCAATTATGTTATCATCTAAGGTAGTTAGTTATTTAATTATTGGACATATTCATTTCCCTATTATGAATTTTTGTTTTTTCTCTTTTTATTTGAACACATGGACATTGGTACAAGGAGGCACCTAATACATATGCACCACACAAGTCATATGATTTAAGTGAGGGCTGGGATAATGCTCAGGTGCCCAAACCGAAGCAGGTGGATTTCTTAGGAGAGGTCACACCCGGAGCTTTCGACCTAAAGGTCTGGTGCACAAGGGAATAAAGCAAGGTCAGGAGATACAGTTCCATGGTAGCCAGTGATCAATAATTGGCTCATACGCCATTCGATTCCCCAGGATCCTGGAGCCAGCCCATGTGCACCATTGGTTTGGAATGAGGGTTTTCCAACTCCCTTAGATGAATCTTTCTGTTATAATTCTCTCTTTTATTACAACCCAGCTATTCCTATCGCTTAGTGTTCTCGGACACCAATTCACTCGACAAGTCCCCCAAATCAGAACACGGTTGAACAGGAAGAGAGATTATATTCCAAATAACAAGGTTAGATGGAAGTAGAAGCACAATAGGGAAAACGTTAGTATATTTATAATTTTCATATGAGAAGATTTCTAGTGTTCACTAAGTATTGACTAACGCTGATTGGATAAGAATTAACTAATCAGCGTGCGCCAACGCAAGCGTGCATTGAGCATGATTTAATCCAATCTATGTCCCTCTAACACCTCCCCTTTGAGCAGATTCGTAGGATCTGGTGTTTCGAGGACGTTTACGCTTCTTGGGCTGAGGCGAACGATTCGGCGGACAATGACCTTCTTTATGTCCATGTTTGCTGCATATCTGACATTTATGCTTCTCAAATGGACAGAATCGTACATAATACCAATCACCACATAACCAACATGCAGTCGTTGGTTTGTTACGAGTTGTTATTGGCTTCTGAACTTTTTACCTAGTGATAGCATTGACACTACTGCAGGTTAAATTCGGATTTGCCTGTTCAATCAACTCGTCGTGTCTGATCCTTTGTAGCCGCATACACTCGTCTGTCAATGTTCTGAGTGTGACGTTTGGGTCTTGATCCAGTTGAGCCAAAAGTTTAGTCCTGATCTCAGCATCTTGTGGCGACTGAAGGGCCTTGATGAATATTAAGCATTTAAATTAGTCTTCTGTCAACGAGCGTAACTTGAACCGTTCACATTTTCTGTCGGCGATATCTGCTAGAACACGATATTCATCGGCTTCGCGTTTCACCAAATTTAGACACCGATATCGAATACTAAACAATGAGGATGACTCACCGAATATCTCTGACAATTGAATTACCGTCTCCTCGAAACTGAGCTCTCGAGGTAACTTTGGCAATATATGGTCAGTATAACGTGCATGTTCATTGCTTCCCACCTTACGTACCAACATTCGAGTCTTCCACGCGTTTTGGTTACAGAATTCATCTATGATCCCGAAAGTGGAAATACTTTTCTCACGTAGTTCAAAAGTTGGTAAGGTACATTTAGAACAGAATTCTGTGGGCTAATAAAACTAACCATGTTGGGATATGACCTTGCTAATGGTAGTGTAATGAAGGAGAACACGGGTGAGGACAACCAAATCGTATTTAGCACAAATTACAGAATTACTTGGTAAAATAGAAAAACCATATAGTAAATCGTTAATTTGCAAAATATTATTCCATCATATCAAACCGGACTGTTGCTGTTGCAAACATCAATCCATTGTCTCACATTTCATTGTTCATGCGATTTCTTACAAATTCCATTCTGTTCTCGCTCTTCCTTTCTTGATCTTCTCTATCTTCTGCTGCCAGACATTACGTCCTTTAAACTCACGTTATATACTACTTATATCAATTTATGTAGCACGCACCACAGTAGTAGAACTAGTATGAGGATCCTGGCGAGTGTTCATTCACTTTCGTTTGTAAACATATCTTGATGATAAGCATCAAATCCACAAAACTTGGGCTAATCATCCAATCTTCTCAAAGTTTGACAATCTGAGTCTTTTCATGTGTATATGTGTGTGTTTGTTAGAATATACTTACGCGCCTTTTTGTTTTATCGATAAAATTCTAAACATTTGTCAGAGTTTTATGGATATTATAGTAAGTTTAATAGTTGAGGTCATGAGTCATTTAAAGCTAGACCACCATGGAAAACCTGGAAGCACTAAACAACCGTTTCTTACTACTGTGGGACTCCTCAGAAGTGTGCATCTACGATCCTTCCTCGCGGGGTTCGAACCCAGGACCTATCAGTCCTGGCAACATTTATTCGTCCATTCATTGCTAAAATAATATTGGCACTGCTGAGGAGAGTCCCACAGTAAGACGAAACGGCCGTCCAGTGCTTCTAGGTTTCTCATGGTAGTCTAGCTTCATTTGACTCATGATCTCAACTATTAAAATTTTCAGAGTTCTCATAATTTTCTGTTTTTTTTTCTAGATTGCTCAAATATGGACAAATTATTGTAATGGGAGTACAGGTCAATTATCAGCTATTACATTGTTCCTATTTGCTTTAGGTTCAACTGCACGTATATTTACATCAATTCAAGAAACTGGTGATAATCTAATGATTATATCATGTATATTAGCTAGTCTATGTAATTACATATTAATGGGTCAATTAGTCTATTATTGGAATGTATCATCTGTTTCTAAAATTGACCACCACCACCACCAACAACAACAATATTCAACACGAAGAGTTAAAGTGAATTAGTTCTATGTTCTTTTTATTGTTACTATGTTATCGTTATTCTTTTGTATATGGATTTGTAATACGAACACATTATTCCATGTATTGTTTCAACTTGTTATTTATTTTATTTTTATTGGTTCCCATGACTTGTTAAATTGGTTGCTAATTCATTTATTCATTTTAGTTACTATGTGAATTCATGATCAATATACATGTGGGTTTTTATAATTAGTTTTAATAATAACGAAAATCTTATTAATTTTTCTAAGGATTTGTATTTCTCGGTTAGTATTCAGGACTGTAGATGATCGGTGATTTTTTTTTCTAACTTGATAGTTTTGTGTATTTAGGAAACAGGTACTAGGTAAGGATGGCAAATCAATTGATGAAGTAGTGAAACTTCATCCGTTGAGATGGCTGGGACATGTGTTACGTATGCCCAACCACCGACTACCTTGACGTGCGATGTTTTATGATATAGGAGTAGATTGGAAGAAAGTTAGAGGCGACCAGACCAAAAGCATGACACAAATCCAGGAAATCACTGACAAGTGGACTGAGCTATGTTGGTAGGTGTGGACTACCTGGTTGGGATCCACGAGACGATAGCAACCGATGGTTAGAGACCTTGAATGACATGACTCGAAATCGTTTGCAATAGAGCAGGTGCATCCACTCTTTGTGTTCTCCCAAATTTTAATCTTCTGAATTCTTCATATCCCTGAATTTTTCTCATTCCAAATTTATTTCACTGGATTATACTCCTTGAATAACACCTTGAAACCCTAATCTTTCCGATTACTGCTTATACTTACTTATAACTTTTACTAATTCTTAAATGACTAGTGTTTGCAGTCTTACTTCGATGTATCGAATCAGTTCATTCATAATGTCAACTAAAAATATTACTGATACCGTAATTACAGATTACTTTTAGTTTTATCAACTGAATTTAATACTTTTTAAATGAAATCAAACTATGTGTCTGCCGGATAAATTATTTAAATCGATATCATGAACAGATCAATGTTAGATCCTTATTGAAAACCTGGAAGCAATGGACAGCTGTTTCGTTTTAGTATGGAACTTCTCAACAGTGTGTAATATCATGGATTGGATGAAGTAAAAGATTAACATTATCAGATGCCAGCAAACTTGGTGGTCTAGAAGTTAAGCGTCCGCGCGCCAAATCAAAGGTCCTGGCTTCGATTCCCGTGTGTGGGTTCGTCGATGCTCATTGCTGAGGAGCCACTCACTAGGACGAAACGACCATCTAGTGCTTCCATGATTCCAATGGTTCTCTAACATGGATCGGTTCATGATATCAAATTAAAAGTCAACAATCTCCTCAACCTTATACGGATAATTATCTTATATTCATGTACCTTTTTTTACACGTCATAAAGTAGATGATTCTTTCTATTCTGGATTAAACTGTATATATATGGAAACAGTTATTTCATGTCATTTTGGAATAACTCGACAATAAACATCCAAAATCAAATACAGAATCAAGTGCAAGATATTATGTACTTGAAGCTATAAAATATCTTTAGCTTTCAAATAATAAGTCTTACAATAGTTGAGATCATGAGTCAGTTGAAGCTAGATCACCATGGAAAATTGATTACATTCATGTATACATGGTTTCTTGAGTGGCAATCAGCTCATTTTACCTTTATTAATGTACATATCAAATTGTCCTGGATATATAAGGAGATAATTCTTTTTTTAATACATTCACATTTTAGAGTATTGGCGTGACAACAGTTTGACTATCAGTAAAATCTAATCACAAATACATTGTGCACTGTTCATGAACAGTTTGTATGGATTGTCGAATTATGTAGGTGTATACTACGAACGGATTTCAGTTAAATAAATCCTAAAAACTAAGAAGGACTGAAGCGCTACTTCTTGGTATAGGATTTCTCACTAGTGCGCATCCACAACATCACATGGTGTCAAACATAGTATACTTGGCATTTTCTTATCCACGTTATTAATGGTTTTTAGGAAAATTTTTAGTTACCACATAGGGGAGGGGGTGTTTTGATATGAATTATTCAGTCTATTCGAGTAGCATGATGATTCAAGTAAAGACAATTGAATATAGACACCACCGATAGCTTACATTTTCATGTATGTAAATGTTGGGCTTTCAAACTAGAATCTGATTTCAATGAAGAAGGAAACATTAAAAAACTGGATATAAAATAGATGCTCTCACCTATTATCTGATCATAATGTAACTTCAAATTATTTCTTTCTAACACAATTGATTTCTCTGTCTTGTTGTTCATGTAACTCATTGTTCAATGGTTTTTTGTGTAGATAAAACTATAGTATACCGAGTACCTTAAGTGCTCAATAAAAAATAAAAGAGCTGATAAGCAAAGATAGATAGTGACTGACAGTGGAATCAAGGACACGCGTTTCATCCTGTTTCGGGACTCGTCAGTTGGATTTACCTGTATCTCAGAGTTGATACTCACTACGGGACTCGAACCCAGTACCATTCGCTTCAAATACCATCACGTTATCCACTTAGCTACTGAGTCCTGATACGGCTGAGGGTGTGTAAATCCAGCTCTCCCTCTCGAATGCTCTCTTATGTCCACGTGCAACAGTTACTGACAGGGAAGTCCTATTCACTGCATTATTGCGGCATTACCGTTTACGCAAAGTCGTGCATGGAGGACAGCTGACAGATGCATTCCTAGTAAGGACCGGAGTCAGACAAGGCTGTTTACTCTCTCCCTTCCTTTTTCTTTTGGTGTTCGACTGGATTATGAGAACCTCGACATCTGAAGGAAAACACGGAATACAATGGACAGCTCAAAATCAATTAGACGATTTGGACTTCGCAGATGACCTAGCCCTCCTATCGCACACACACGAACAGATGCAGACAAAGACAGCCAGTGTAGCAGTAGTCTCTGCATCAGTAGGCCTCAGCATACACAAAGGGAAAACCAAGGTCCTCAAATTCAAAACGGAGAACAGCAATCCAATCACTCTTGATGGAGAAACTCTGGAAGAATTAGAATCCTTGACATATCTGAGAAGCATCGATGAACAAGGAGGCTCAGATGCAGACGTAAAGGTGAGGATTTGCAAAGCAAGGGTCGCATTCCTACAATTGAAGAACATATGGAACTCAAAACAACTTTCAACCAATATCAAAGTGAGAATCTTCAATACGAACGTCAAGGCAATTCTACTGTATGGAGCTGAAACTTGGAGAACTACAACAACCACCATCAAGAAGGTACAAGTTTTTATAAATAGTTGTCCAAGTAAGATACTCAACATCCATTGGCCGGATACCATCAGCAACAGCCTTCTGTGGGAGAGAACAAACCAGCTTCCAGATGAAGAGGAAATTAGGAAAAGACGATGGGAATGGATAGGACATACATTACACAAATCATCAAACTGCATCACGAGGCAAGCCCTAACTTGGAATCCTGAAGGGAAGCGGAAAAGAGGAAGGCCAAAGAACACATTACATCGGGAAATAGAAGCAGATATGAAAAGGAAGAATAACAACTGGAAAGAGCTGGAAAGGATCGCCCAGGACAGTGTTGGATGGAGAATGGTGGTGAGCGGCCTATGCTCCTTCACAAGGAGTAACAGGCGTGAGTACCGTTGTTTACGAAATTGAGAGGATGAAAGGCGAATGTCTGGCGCTTTAACCGGGTTGGTGGACACAGTAAGTCCACCTAGAGTGGATAAAAGCCCTAATTCCAAACCAATGATGCACATAGGCTCCAGTATCCTGAGGAAACAAATGGAGTATGAATAAGTTGTTTGTCACCGGCTACAATGGGACTGCATCTCCTAATGTTGCTCCAGTGCCTTGTGGGTCAGACCTTTAGGTTTTAGTGGCCCGTTTGATCTGACTCCATTTATATTGTATGTGTGTTTGTTAGCGCCTTTTCTCGTATATCATAGTCGACTTAAATCGCGTTAGTCCATAACGGATTTAAATAAGTCGAATAACGAGAATTGACTTGTGAATACATATATTTTGTATATAAAGTGAATGAAACAGAGCCAAGCAAAATGACGCACAGGGAGGATGGCTGGGAAGCCAACTCCATCTTTGCCAAGTGTTACTCAATATTTATAGTCAGACAAAATAAAGCTACAGACATGTAATTAATGGAATAAGAAGGGCACACACATATACGCTCATATAAAAACAGTCTAGATTGATAAGCGAATAAATGACAAGGTCAATGTATGGCTCAAGTAAAATGAATAGAATGGGATGTCCGAAAGCTCGAATAAGGTATATGGGCTTGGCATAATAACTAACACTACAAGGTCGAAGTCTCCAGGTATGGCCCCCTAAGAAAACCACTTGCTTCGTTCTGGGCACCAGGGTTCTATCACAGTCAACACACAAATCAAGTGACTTGTGTGGCACATATGTATTCGGTGCCCCTTTGTACCAATATTTCTGTGTTGAAATAAATAAATAATAACAATTATTGTTGTGATCTTTTTACACTATAATGTGATTATAACCATTATATTATGGTACTACCACGCGATTCACACCTATGTCATTTGGTTAATATAGAATTCAAGGTACTATATATCATGGGACATCATTTATTTTATTGTATTTCCTCCTAAAACTCATATTTTCTCTATTCTTACTCGATTGTAGTTTTTTTTTTCACTGTCATTGTACATAGGTCGTTCGACCTATCTAATTACATACATCTTTTTCTCATTAGAAGCATCTCTCATTGACCTTCAAATGTTGTATCTCAATAAAACATTCTAATCTTTCAAAAATTTATTTATCCCTTTTCCATTCTATGATGTGTCTTAAACTATTTGTTCTTGACATTGAGGGTGAGACTATTATTTATAAACGACCTTTCAGCAACGCCAAAGTGACATTGAGTGTGTCTATTTACTTACTATGACTAAATAAGGGTTATAAAGCAGTTTGGAGGATATGGATTGTTATTCACAATTGATGGTTAGCGTTAGGAATTCGATATGCAGTTTTTTTTATCACGAACTGACATAAGCTAAGATGCTATTTAGCCAAATGGATGAATGAATTTCGAGTCAAAATCTAAGACCTGT